TTTCATGAGAAACTAAAGATGCATCCTTAACTGTTTGTAGATATCCTTCAAATGATCTTTTCCTCAAATGATCTCTTCCTGGTCAAGAAGACACATCTTCTATTAGAGTTAAGTCCGATCAATCTGTTTAAAAACACAAAGGCAGATCCCCTTCCCCATTATAAAATTAAAATCTCTGAAGGAGAGATGATCACAAGAGGTACGCTAACCACCCCTAAGGCTAGAACTGGCTCTCAGCTGGGTCTCATAGACCCTGTGCACCACTGTGGTGGTCATTTGGCAACCACAGGCCAGAGCATAATTCCCCATCTGGTGTGCTGCTCCGAGTATCCCATTCAAGGACTAGTCTCTAAAAGTTTAAGAATAAAAAGTAGCCAAAGAACTGTGAACAATGGTCAATTATCTAATTAGCATTTCAAAAGACAGTGATGAAAAGGAGTAATACTCAGAGGCCCACAACTCAAATGAACAGCTGTGTGTGACAAGATCAGTTAATTAAGCTTCCAACTTTTCAAGCCCATCTCCTTCCACCTTTCTCAGTCCCTTCTTTCTCTTCCTTTTTCTCGTCCTCCTCCACTCTCTCTTCCTATTTGTAAGTGTTAGTTCGTTCGTGTTCGCCTCTTTCTAGATTCTGCCAGTCCCTTTCTCTTGCCCTCACTTTCCTATTTCACTGTTATTATCTCCCTTTAATTTGGTACCAAGATAGTTTTCTTTATTAAAATCAGGTTTTAGATACAGTTTTAAATATCTCTTGTGTTTTCTAAATAAAGATATTTACAAGTCTTGGTCAATTCTAACTCAAGTACGTTTACATTTTAAACCTCAATTTTTTAAAAAATTCAATTAAGTGGCAATGCTTTGTACTTCCATATAACTAACCTTTGAATAATAAATTTTTCCCTTGAAGGTCAATGACCTTCTAATTTAAAAAAATATATATATAACATATATATATTCTATACATATCACACACACACACACACACACACACACACACACACACACACACACATCTATGTACCAAAGACCAGATGAAGAAAATCCTGATTTCTCGATTTTAGTTTGCTATTTAGTCACAGGGGAAAAAAAGTGCAGTTGAGAGCCTTATTCATGATACAAATCTGAAATGCATTATCCTAATCTCCAGATCAACCCTGAAAAATACATATAATTAACCCCATTTTATAGATTTGAAAATGAAGCACACTGAAGTTAAATAATGCATGAAGAACTATTTCATCAAATTATGTTATATGCATGTACAAATATGCCACAATGAAAACCATTCTTCTGTATAATTATTATGCACCAATAAAAAAAAAAACAATAGGCAAATAAATAAACTGTTTCAAACCCAGCTGTCTTTGACACCTAAGGCCAAATCAGCCCCTTCTCTATGCCACCTTCTTACTAAAATACATGATCCCAAAGGGTAAACAAAGGAGCCAAGTTGCAGACCACTAGCCCAAAGCTTAACAGGGAATCAACAGCAGCGATGGGGTAACTCTGCTCCTTTCAGCTCTGCTGTGAGCTGGGACCTAGGACCTGGATATTTAGGTGGACTTCTGTCTACATTAAGGCTCACCCTGGTTTCATGAAAGAAAAAAGAGAGATGAAGAAACAGTGAGCTCATGGTCATCGGTATTGATGATACTTATCAGAAAATGCTTCCTGGAAGGAACAGGGAAAGCACCACCAACGCCAGAGCCATAGGTCTCTGTTTGGGATGTCTGAGACCAGGAGATATTAGCACTGACCACCTGTTGTCAATCATAACACTACAGATATCTTAACTGAGTTGCACAATATTTGTAGGCACCAGCAGCAGCTGTGTTCTCTCTTTGCCATTCCACTGGACTCAACCATGTATCTCTAGAACCACAGAAAGGAGAGAGAAGTGCCCCACTTCAGAAAACACAAACCAAAAAGTCACTTGATCGCACACACCACAGTTGGCAGCCTTGTAAGAGATCTGGCTAGGTGGGTCAAGGTTTCTTGACCTTCTCATGCTTCAAGGTTATTCCACTTCCAGCACAGTTTGGGATGAGATTGGTCTTGGGTAATTGTTTGTCTCTGACAGTGCATGGATTAATCCCAGAAAATGCTCCATTCCACAAAAATCTAGAGATTTTTCAGTCCAAATTCTTGGAGCAATCCTGGGGGGAAAGTATGGTGGATGCTTGTGTTCCTTTCCCTGATCTGAGTTGGTTTCAGATTTTCAGATTAATTACTAACACCAGGCCAAGCTGAGTCTGGTTCTAACCCTCCGCTAGATCCTGACCAACTCTTTCATAGCAGCATGCCTTAACCTTTGCTGGATCACAGAACCCTCTTGAGACCCTGAACAACTTGACACTTTTCCCCCAACAAACATGTGGACATAAACATTTAGGGATCCTTCCCTCTACAAACCCCAAATCAAGACCTCTACTCCCAGCTCCGATTCACCAAAATGCTAGAACCAAAGTACCTCAGGGAGTCTTCATAGATTTCTCTCTAGAAACCTAGGCAGAGCAAAACTTGCAGCCTCTCAGACAGGCTTTCCAATAAGACAAGGTTTCCAACAAACAAAAAGTAAGGAAACGTGATAAGTGAAAAAGTCACTGACCTCAGGCAGCTGTCCCTGCCGCTGACAAAGAGACGGCAAAGTCTACCAAAGGTCTCTGACCCCAATGTGAACACTTACGGTGGTAATGACCTCATAAAGGAACACCACCTGCACACATGTGCCCAATACAGCAATGGCAGATCTGCCCCCATTCTGGTGGGTCAATAAAGGGTTCACCTAGGACAGGCAACTAAGAGCCGGCCACAGGGAGGAGACAGGTCTCTCCCCCATGGTAAAGTCAATTCATTCCTGTTTTCTCTCCACAAAGAAAAACAGCTAAGAATTTTTTATATTAATACAAATGTGTCCCTTCAAAAATGGGAACTACTGTGACAGCAGATATCAAATCAACCTCCCTGGTTCCTCTGAGGTCTATAAATGCCACAGATCATTGGAATTCATCATTCTGGAGAGGTTGGTGCAAATTCAAACAAGGGGCACTCCCAACACACAGACTTGATGTATGAGGTATTTTTATTCTTTCAATACGCTGGGTACAGCAATTAAAAAGCATAACGCCAAGCATATGATGAGCACTCAATAAATACAGGCTTAATGGATGAAATAGAAAAGTTATTGAGGAGAAGTTCTTTTTTTAGGAAGCAGAGGTGTACTGAACTTGACAATCTAAGAATTTTTTTTTTTTTTTTAAGATTGGCCTCTCCCAAGATTTCCAATTGCATGGATAAAATTAAAACTGGTGGACAAAAAGAAAAAGCTAGGAAAAGCAGACAAAATAGTACTACTATACAAAAAAAAAAAAGTTAAGTATAGGCACACCCTGGTTATAAACCAACTGAAATGAGCCTGAACTAATTGAGCTCCCGCAGACCACAACCAATTGGGGGAAAAAAACGTAAAGAAGCAAAAGCAAAGATATTTGTACCTGACTGAAGGTAACCTTGAAACTATTTGCCAAAATTTTTAGAAATGTGTTTTATGAAGAAAACAAAAGAATTTGACCCACATGATTCTAATTACCAGAGATCCAAAGGGTGAAAGTTGAAAAATCTGTCACCAAAAAAAAAAAAAAAAAAAACTGACACTTCTCACTGAGAGAATGGCTTTCTCTTTTATCTGTAAGGATGTATGATGTTCTCTGTGCATCTAAAGAGCAAGTGCTTGGAAAGATGGCTATGACTATAGTATTAGGTGCCTGATGTTCAGGAAATGTTTTGGAGTGGGTAAGAACATCAATTTCGTTCAACAAAAATGAAGCTTAGAACTTCGCTCCTCTATTATTACACATATTTAGAAACATCAACATAATCCAATCCATTTGTATCTAATACACAGCCCAGAGGTATCTCTAATATACTGTATACTATAGCCAACAAAATCTGGAAATAAGCAATTGAGACGTTGCTCATAACCAAAAACTGTTATTAAATTATCAGTGATTTTTTACAATTTTCCTAAGCCTGAGATGTTCTAAGGGCAGATTTTTCGACAAGATGTAAAAAAAAGTAAAAATGTATCTCAGCTGCAAATTTGGATCTGCGCATATCCACAGATCAGAATCCATAAAGGGTCAACAGAAAAATCTTACATAAAATTGGCTTTAGCAGCAGTGTCATTAAAGGAAAACTTCTGACTGAAGCTAAGTTTCTCCAAGAAATTTGTATCTCCTCATTACCAACGCACTTGAATTCCAAAAAGAATCTGAATCAGAAATGTGTTGTTTGTTGCTTTCAGTGTCATTTTCATTTTTTACATTTCCCTTTTTTTTTTTTTTGATTCTGATGTCCTTGTTGCAGTGAGCCTCATTCTTGAATATAAAGCAAACACAAACAAAACAAAACACATCAAAATATCTTTTTAGAAAGTATGCGGCATTCAAAACTAAATACCTTTATCTTTAGACACTTTGGATTTTCACACTGGTAAAATATTTAGCTCCCTAAGGACTTGAGGAGAACTACAGAGTTTAGATTTTCTCAGCATCTCAGAAGTAAACAGTTCCATCTTTCATTTTTACCATGACATTTCACCCTTAATAAAATAGAGTGTGGATTGTTTTAATCTCGGGTTTCTTTTCTTTCTCTCTAGTCAGAGACAGGCGGGGGAGTCCTAGCCATGGGCAAACTTCTTGCTATTAGTCCTCATTAGTTATACCACATAATCAAGTTAGTTATTCCTTAGATTTCCTTTAAGATAAAAGGAATAATATAGTTAGCATTTATTGTTTTAGATCGACTTTGAAGGCAGTCTTACCTACATTTGCTTCCTGCTGAGCCAAATCTCTGCAGGGACTCGGAGTAAAATTATCACTGACATCAGGAAGGAAAAATACTAACAACTTTGCTATGGCTACAGTAACACATTTCGAAAGGGAAGTAAATCGCCAGTGTTTACTCTTGAACAGACAGAAGGGAGGCTGTCACGAGCACAACACGGAGGACATGCAACATTTTAAGTATCTACAGCATTCCACAGCCCTCAAAATCGCCATCTCTGCAGGTTACTCTGTGACACTCCTTTTGTGGCACATATCCTAGCACTTGGAGTTACAAAAGGACCTATCCAGACAGCTTCAGGTTGCCAAGCACCCAGGCAAAGAGACTGCTGTTTGCAAGATATTACGTTAATTTCAGAAGAACAAAAGGTTCAAATCTGACTATTCCAAGAATAGCAACCCCTAGGCAGCCCAGGATTGAGTAACCCGTTAGGGTGAAATGGTCTGCCGGTAAGAGGCAAACACTGTCACGAAGATATTAAATGGCACTGCATCCGGTACTGAACAAAAATTGAGTGGAAATTGTGGAGACCTGTGCGAGGAAGGTAAGCGAGGAGAAATGGGGACTGCAGCAGGTGACGGGAAGGAGAAAGTCTATTCTGAATCAAAACTATGCCGTGCATCTTGGCTCTGTGCACTTTAGGTTTATTTGCACACTCTTTTTAGAACGAGTGGGGGCTGGGGATCCAAAGCGGATGAAAGAGTTATTTATGAACAGACGGGACACCAGGATGGGGTGGTAAGAAAGCTATGGAAGAGTGTCTGGACTTGTGGATAAAGGAGGAAGCAGACATATGGGGAAATCTATATAGAAGAAACAGAGAGAGTGAAGAAGAGGCTAAAACAGGCAGATGGCTGGACTGTAAAGGAATAGCATTATGCGGGGGCTCTAAAGAAGGGGAGGTGGCCTTGGGAGGGGGGGAGATCTAAGTGGGGGGAAGGGTCAGGAGGTGACTGCTTGGAAAGTTTTTCAGAAGTTGCAAAAATTAGACATAGATAAAAATATTTTTTAATGTATTTAAAAGCCCAGGAGGAAACTGAAGCAAAATGTAAAAAAAGGGGGAAAAAAATACATGAAAAACAGTGTTCCAAATTAACAGCAAACATTTTTGAGAGACGTGTGAAGAAATTATAACTAATAAGAACTGAAGACGTAGGCAAGGGTCCTCCTGAGACGGTCTCCTCAGTGCTCCCTAGATCACAAATGATACTCCCCAGTCAACTTTTCTGAACAGCAACCTGGAGCTGAGGAGGCACCTCCTGACCACAGAGCATCCTCTACCTATGCCTCTTACAATAAAAGTTTATATGCTGGATAGCAAGCATTCGCTGCCAGGTCTGAGGGTAAGGCCTGTGTCTCACTAATCTTGATATTCCCAGTATTTTCCACTAGGTTTGACATAGGAAAAGGGTCAGTCAATAAGTAGAGAATAAAGGAAGGAGAACAACTGGAAGTTATTTTTTTTTGAGTCCCAACATAGGAGGCAAAACAGAGTGAAGCTTCCAGATTCCTATTTTTATTCACACAGTCAGTCGGAAATGCAGATATACATATAGTCATACAAAGCATGCATAAATACATTAGGATAATCCTTCTATTAATATGGTCACTAGTACTCTATTGAGTAATACTATATCACTGCTAATAGTCATCAACTCAACAACTGTGATCAATGATCAACAAATTAAGAAACGGTATCTGTGCTCTCCTATCTATCTTGTGAATGATTCATGACTCCAATCCTCATTGGATGGCTCAGGACATCAATAAAGCCTAGAAAAATTATAAATTGTTCTTGGGTGTGTTCCACTTGCCAAGATTTATTATGGAATTCATCAATGTTTAAGAATAAAAACCCTCCTGAGACAACTAATACAGACACACTTTGCTTAGTCTGATAAACATCAGGCATGACCAATCAATACTATAGTTAAACACAGTGAATATAATGTGGCATATCTGTTTAGAGAAGAATTTTTTATTTCTTCTCCTTAGTTAAAAATAAAACTTGTTTAAGCTACAAATGTACCAAATTTGTTTTTCATTGAATAGTTAGGGTCTGTCACAGTGAATGACTTCAAAGTTGAATTTACTTCCATTAGTGAATTCAAACAAATAAGAAGCTAAGTAGGGATAAAGCACAGACAATTGGGTACTTCAGCCACATAAGGTCTAAACACTTAGGTACACAGTATTATTTCAAAAGGAATCACCTAACTCGTACTTTAAGATGTGAGTCTTTAATAAGCAAGTCCTTTCTACTGATATGATTAAAAATGAATTAAGGAATCAAGAAAAACAGCCTTCACATCATCATCATCATCATCAAACATGTCATGGCTCAATCCTCAGTTACCATCTGCAGAGTCACATCAGCTTCTAAGAGACTATTTAGGGTGACCCTTGGTGGCTCTTTCAAACCAATCCCTTCTAAATTAAAGTGAGGTCTCACGGAGAAATGGCAACTAAGGAAATCCGAGGAAACTCCAAAGGAAGACGGAAAACCATAATGTGACCATCTTTGATAAATATTGTTGGACCTAAGCACATGAAGATTTGTCCAATTCTCTCATTAGTCTGGTATATTTAGAATATGAACAATGGAAACATCCAAGCAAAGCCAGACACAAACACACTCCAAGACCCCTGCACAACAGGCAAGTGCAGCTTCGGGACCATTTCCTTGAAGGCTCTTCCAAGGCTGCGGTTCCAGGGTTCCATTTCCATGCCCTGAGTTCCATTCTGAAAGGGAACCCCGGTCCCGTCACTCTTTGAGAGAGCCCATAAGTGCAGCAACTGCTTTTTTTTTTCCCCACATACCTCATGTAAAGAACTCTAAATTCTAATTCAGATGTTCCATCCACACAAACCAGAGAGCACGTCTCCAAAATTATTAACTCCCCTATCTGCAAAATGGGAATACAACGGCTAGTATGTAGGTAAAGATAAAATGTGGGAAAACATGAGAAATCGCAAACACCATACTTCAAATTATTTATGTACTGCCATTTGTTTGCCTTTTATGTCCCTATCCCACCTTCCTACCAGGTGACCCAATGGCACAAAATGTGGTTGCAAACAAAACAGCAGAAGGATTACATGCCTCACTATCCTTAATGTACTTCATGCTCAAAAATATAACAAGAAACACCCGTGATTAAAGCCTGCCAATCAACAACCCCAATAAAAGCTGTGCACGAAACCAGCCTCCCAGGGAGTGTACCGCTGCAGGGCATGCGACCCCCCATCATTATTAAATGCAGGCACAGGTAAAGCACTCTGGCTTCTATCAAAGGGCACATCAAAGAGCAAATATGTACCCTCACGTGTTTAGAATTGCTATAAAACCTGAAAATGCAAGATCAATGCAACAGACGATGGAGACCCATAAAGCCCAGGGGAAAGCAGGCAGGGCAGGGTCTACCGGCTTAATGTTCATCTGGGAGGGTGTGTTCTCTGGGCACACAGCTGGACCCCATTAGGGCCTCCCCAGCTGCCCAGAAGGTCACCTAGCAGCCTCAGCCCCCAAGAGCTGCCAAGTCTGAGCTGGAAATTCATGAGGAAGTCTCCCCAAAGATAAGTTTCCCAGACCTCCGCCACTGTTGTTTTTCACAAGGTAACATTTAGCAGAGAACCACGAATTTCCATGTAACCATGTCTAGACACTTTCCAACACACCAAAGCAGCTTAGCGTCCCTTTTTCTTTGAATAACCGTTAATAAAATCCCTTGGGTACTAACATTTTCTGATAGCCCTGATGAGGCAGAAGACCACGTTTTTCATCATCGGGTTTCTGTTCTCCATCCACGTTCCCCCATTTCTTAATGTCTCATCTCTCTTTCCTTTGTTCTTTCTTTTAACAAAAATGTACGCCAAGCACTCACTGCGTGCCAGGTACTAAGGATGATGCGATGCTTAAAACCAGGCTCTCACCAAACTTCCACAGGAGGTAGGAGAAAAAAGAGAGACACACATCAAACAAAGGCAGGTACAGAGTTACGTGAAATAGGAAGATACAGCGCATGAAGGCAGGACTGGGGTGCTTGCTGGGGAGGGGACACATAACGGAGGATGTGGCAGAGTTACCGACAGAAGGAGCAGTAGGCTTTTGAGGCACTCCATGCCCCTCCAGCCCCTGGTCATTTGCTCCCTTCCCTACTCTCCACCCATGGAAAGACACAGCTTGGGCCTCTTGGGGACTAGAATGCACACCCAGTGTTCTTCACTGACAAAAGAGTAAGGGCTAGACTTAAAAGTTAGGACTTCTTTATTTCCTTGCCATCAACCCTACCACTCAAGCCAATCTGCACACATCTCGAATGAAATTTAAATTTCAGTTTAAAAAAACCCCATTGAGGGCTGTGAAATCTATCTTATCTATAGCTTTTAAAATATCCCGTTATTTTATATTCCAATAGGTTCCCTTGGGGATGCCAACATAACAACACAGAAATATGGCTGAATGGAAGAGAAAACAATGTATGCCCAATTTAGTGTATCTCACCCTGCCTTTCTCACATCAAATGAGCACAAGGAATTCTTATCTTCACTGTTCTGATGAGAAAAGGGAGGTTCTGGGTCCATTCTGAGAGTTATGATCTGCATCGAGGCTACCAGCTAACTACAAGCAAAACTGTGATCCTCATAATCAAAGAAGAACAGTCTCCAAAGAAGTCATTTAGGACTGGTGCTTCATCAACTTCAGTGTGATCTCTACTGGTGCAATTTAAATTATGACATAACATCCTCTTACGTGTGGCCTCGGCATATTAAGATACAAGGTTCTGCCATACATTTTCAAGGTTGAAAAATCTTAAGAGTCTACAATGAATTCAAATTCTACACTAAAATGGGGCACGGGGAACTGTACAGGTCATTCTTATTGTTTTAGTTTAAGTAAAATCAGCAAAAAAAAAAAAAAAAGAAAGAAAGAAAGAAGAAGAAGAAAGAAAACATATAAGCACAGATTTTTAGAACTGCCACATTAGAATCAATGTAGTCAAAATTCTTTTCCTGCTCATTATAAGGAAGAAAACTACACTACCAAGCCTAAAAAAAAGAAAAAGAAAAAATGGTTTCTTTCATTCTTTTCATTGTCTGCAAACCTCACTAGATCAATTGAGAAAGTGGGCAATAAAATATATTTTTTCTTGAAGGCAAATCCTACAACAGAGAGAAAAATCATCTCCTTTTGCCAAAGGCACACACTAATTGAAGCAGAAATAAAACATGGAATAGAAAAGAGATAAAAATACAAAGTTATGCCTTGGTCCAATTAGTAGGTAGAGAGTTAAACAAATTATCAGTTCAAGGCATTCACCATTAAAAATCAGAAGTAAAATGGCTGTAAAGCAACATGCACCTGGTCTTGATAGTAGAATCCATAGCAATTTCAAGAAAGTAATATTGTACATCTGGAAGCGGTCCAATGACAAATGAGAACAAACCAATAAATCCATAAAAGGATCTTAGTAAAGCTTTTATTTCAAAAAATGTGTTTCCACTTTCTCAATCTAAGCTATATTTTACATAAAACTGTACTTCATACTTTTTAGTAGACTAATCTGGCCCCAATATAAAATAATTAAAGTTGCATTATTTCTCACTATGCATGTTTCAAACAGCCCCTAGACTTCAAAGTTATAGAGCCCTCATTAGCAAATAAATAGAAATAACACCCATAGTAATATTTTGTTAAGTTTTTCATACCACGATCTTCAAGGACCTCAGAGAACATCTACACTATTAATAAGTCAATGTTTCCTCACTGTGAAGGGAGGAAAATATTACTCTTGAATACTCTAGAAACTCAGTTCTTTACTATTCAAATGTGTGTTCATATTTAACAAACGCAGGGGTCGGGGGAAGAACAGTGAGCTCTAAAATCTCTTTCAGCTTCTGGCCAGAAAAACCATAGCTCCATAGGAACAGATTTTAAAAAGACAAGAATTATAGTTAATATAATTACAGTAAACTATAGTGCCACCCTAAACAGAGAATTTCAAAAAACTGATGACATTGTAAAGCATAATTATAACCAACCCCCAAAAATGATTCAGAAATAAGTACCAGAAAAATACAAAATTTATGGTTATTAGAAGGTTTCCCCAACATGTAAGACTTTAGGACAATGTTGTACTCAAACCATGTTATCAGAGCTACCACTAAGGCTGAGAGCATAAACAATAAATAAATATTTCAATACTTCTGGGGAGCCTCCCTTATGAATTTTGTTATTTCCCCCTTAGGATTTCCTTGTGACTTCCATGACATTTTAGAAGCGCTTCCAATTTCTGCCTGGAACTTGCCTTTAAGAAGATGCAGGCGATTACGGTACCAGTATTTGCAAAAATTGAAAATAAGTGTTCTAGCATTCTGGCCACAACACCTTCCTTTCTCAACAGTCTCCTTCCCCTTCCTCCCAGCCTTCTGACTTATGTGCTGATAATAACTGTAGGTTCTCCTTCCCACATAGTGTTTTGCATACGTATGTGTGTTGAAGAGTGGCGCTTTGTGTTAGTTGCAGTGGTCAAGGATGTTAAGAATTAAAAGAAGTTCTCATAATTCAGAAGCTGTGGCAGAGTTCGTGAGCATTTTGTCACTCACAGGACAGGTCACTGAGGTCTAGGCCCCTCCAATAGAAGCAGCTCCACTTCCCCTCCCAGGCTGCTATGAGACATACACAGCCAAGCATGAACAACAGATTTTCCCCCCCATGCTGGGGCCTGAACCCAAGGCTTTGTGCATGCGAGGCAGGCACTCTACCACAGTGCTACATCCCCAACCAGAACAATAGGTTTTTAATATACAAGAATCTACTCCTCCTACAGTACCTGGAGAATTATCCAGGTAAGAAGGTTCTACAGGGTAGTTGGTCCTCATTTGCAAGTCTGGACTTAGAATGCATACACATGTCTTTAGTTCAAATCAGGAGAAAAAAGGACAAAGGTGTTAGAAGTGATTTTGCTGCCACTAGCTCATTTGATTTGCATTACTGGTAAAGGAGTAAGCGATCATTTGCCTCTCCTTTGCCTCACAGATGTCTACAATAAAATCAATGTGAAATGCATTCTTGAGGGTTTTGCAGCTCTGCCGAAGTAATACTGAATGTAGTTCTAAAAGTATAATCCACTATACCCCCAAAAGTCAGACTAAGTAAGTATTCATCATGCTTCTAGACCTCCTCAGTGGTTAGGAATATTTTTCCTATTCAGTAGGGCTATGATCTTTCAAGGCTCTCTTTTTAAATAGACTAATATTTATCTTTACTATTTGAATATATTTAAAACATGTTCCAACAAAGAAGTTGAATATAATACCATAATTGGGGTCTGAGCCAGGAGGCTACACAGTAGGAAAGTTTTTGAAGGACTTCTCAGTCTCTGGAAGGGACTCAAGGTTAGGGTGACAAACTATCTCTACCTGCCCAGTTCTGAGAGGTTTCCAAGCATGCAGGACTGTCAGTGCTGACCATCCTCCTGACAGACCAATGCCCTACCCCAAACACTAAACTCAAGGGGAAGCAATTAACAGTGGTAGGCATATCTTCAGTCCACAGTGATCCATCAGCAAATGCAGCCACAGAGATGGACCACAAATCAGTTTCCCAGACCTTCCCTAGATGGTTACATTTCTGTCTAAGGAGATACACAAAGAGTTTAGAGGATGAAATGAAAGAAAGAAGATTCAGTATTTCTGACAAAAACTCTCCACTATCAGGAGCCACTTCATATTACATTCAGAAAAAAGAAAGCAAATATCCACTTAATCACTGAACTTAGGTATGAGAAAAGACTTCTGGTTTTAGCAATATGGTAATCCAAAATAATATACTCCTCTAAACACACACACACACACACACACACACACACACACACACAAATATTCTGAAAAAGTACAATAATGAGAAAAAAGTCAAATAAATTTCTAAACTCAAAAGAGATTAAATTCCCAAAAGGAATTCACAGTCAGAACAGAAAGCACAAAGTAGAATTATTAGCAGATCTATGGACACTAGGGGACAGGGGCTGGAGTTTCAATATCCGCCAAAGGATAGGTCCAAAGATCCTTAAACACAGTCAGAGGTTTGGAGAGGCTACTGACTCCATGTCACTGACTCAGGGAAAAGGACAGGAGAGGAGACACATTCTAGTGAGGGCTTTGGTGGGCAAAGAAAAAACTGCCTATGAGTAACCAAACCTCTGAACCTTTTCCATATGCACTTGCAGAATCTAAAATTATACTATTTACATAGTTTGGGAAGCCCTAGCCATAAAATTAATATAAAAATAATGCCAGACCAATAAAATTCCCAGGAAACTGGCAGAAACTAACACAAAACCACCACTTTGTAGAACTGTCCCATAAGCCAGAGCACATGGGACTTCCACAGAAAACAAACATCCCAGATGAAGATGAGCTCACAATCAAAATTAGAAACACACCAAGAGATCCACCGCAGACTGACTAGTCAGCAGAAACACAGGAGAATTAGCACCCCAAGATCCTGACAAATAGAATAATTTGAAAGAGACTCAAAAGATGACTATATTTAAAATGTTAGCAGAGACAAAAGAACGGAAATCGTAATGAATAGACATGTTTAAAATAGGGCCGAGTACAACGTTGATAGATTAAAAATATAGCTATTAAAATCAAAAGCATGAGAGTTTGGGTGAAACAACAGATTCAACACAATGAAAGTTGATTTCAATGAAAAATAGATCCAAAGAAATTATGCAGAAATGACTCATGGGGTAAGTACCCATCACGCATCTGTTCTAAGTCACCCTACTCAATGTTCACTATATATGACTGAGCAAAAGAGAAAAATGACTGGTCCTCAGAGAGCTTATATTCCAGTGAATAGAACAGAGCAGTAAAAAGGGAAAAAAAATATATATGAAGAAACATAAAACGAAATGAAAAGCTTCAAAAACCTTCTAACCAGAGTTTCAAAAAGAAAATATGCAGAGGGGGGCTGGGGTTGTGGCTCAGCGGTAGAGCGCTTGCCTTGCATGTGTGAGGCACTGGATTCAAACATCAGCACCACATAAATAAATAAATAAAGGTACTGTGTTATATACAACTAAAAGAAAAAATTTAAAAAAGAAAGAAAGAAAATATACAGAGAACAAGGAAGAGGTAAAATAGAATTCTTTGAAAAATTCAAAGTCAGCACACTGAAAAAAATGAGGGTTAAGTTTCAAAATTGATATAGATATATCACAGCAAACTCCCAAAAAGACATTCTAAAAATAAGGCAGAAAATGTTTCATTAATAATATTTTGTTGACATCTACATTTTTTACTTATGTGCAGGTCTTTATTATTGAGAAACGTAACTGAATTCTCCTGACATTTTATATAATCTAATATCATGGTCTTAGCTTAAATAATCAAGAATTAGACATGATTTCTAAAGACTTATAAAAACCATTATCAACTATTATATATTTGCATCAAGTTAATTTCCTACATATATTATATGCTTCAAATAGGCAGCATAATAGCTCTATATAGTCAACAAATGTCTCTATCCTACAAACCGTACGACTGAAACACAAAAAAAAAGAAAAAAAAACTCACAGTGAAAGGTTTCCCTTCACCAAAGGGAAAGGTAAAACTTCTCTTTGACAAATGTCTATTTTATCAATAAATGAGTGTTTTTGATCTTTCAAGATTTCTTGTCCACAAGACTTGATTCATCCTTTCCACAGACTATTCCTTTGAAAGACTAAATATGTCCTACATTGAGTCTGTTTATATTATATCATTTAACAGAAAAATATCATACAGCAATATGAAGAGTATATTTTAAGAAAAAGAACCTCCACCACTGCTGTCACACTTCTGTGTGTGTGCACATGGGCATAAGAAATGCTTCTTTCATATAGTGAGTTCCCTGACACTATTTGAAGACCACTGAATTAGAAAATACTACCGTGTGAATAATAATGATAATGCCAAGATCCCCCTCTTGCCTTCCATAACCATAAAGAGAGAAATTCCTATTAAATGCTCTTTTCTCAATTTCATTATACACATTATTATCTTTAACATCGCTTAACCTTTATATGGCATTTCACATTGCAAATTGCATTTTTAATGTAGTAATCACAATTTTAGAAGGATTCCACTTTTACACTATTCACATGTTATCATAGTTCAGCTATTTTGATCAAATTCATTATAAATTAGGAAACCATCCTCATCTTGTTGTAGCAGCCACAAAATATTTAAAAACACAAATATAAGTAGATATTATAAAAGAATATCTTAGTCTATAGTATCCTAACTGGAAAAAAATTAATAAAAATAATTTTAACGAAGACACATTAGATTTTGGCCCACTATTAAATCTGTACTTGAAATTGTTATTACACATATTCTACGCATATTAGTCAGACACAAACCATCAACAAAAGCACATTTTTTTCAAGGTAAGCAGTTGTATAATTTATTTTAAAAAATTAGTTGTAAAAAACATCAGGAATAACCACCTTTTCTACTAGCACCCTGGCTACAAAACTAAAGGTATTTTCATTCATAAAACAAAGAAACTGTGAATCTTCATCTGCTTATGCAATCAAAACATGCTCATCTCTGATTATGAAGCTCCACTCAGCCTTTCTGTACTTATTTTTCTCTTCAGCTGATTCAATATGCCAGAGGAAGAGAGAATATGACATTATTTAATATAGTTAGAAAAACCATTAGCAAAGATGCTTAGACTGTTCCACCTGGGCTTGACTAAGAAAGACCAACACCACTGTTAATCTAGATTTATATTGACTACCACAGCATCAACTTTGGGAAAAAAAAAACCTCAATATAACTGAATAAACATGCTGATACAAGATTCTGTAAGATATTGTGTTAGAACATGAGGGAAAGGTTAGTAAGTACAGGAACCATACATGTAAATTATGTGACTATCTGACTTAGCAATGAACACAGGAATGCATTCTACAGTATTCCTTACTTCAACAGAGACCCAGGAAAGAAACACTCCAGTCTGTGGATCTGACAGCAAAGAGTTACTTTGTTCCTATGAGTTTTGCATGAGTATAGTTTCCATAAATACCATCCATTGAATGCTGAATATAAATAGCACCATATAACCTCATGGAATCTTAAAAGTTAATTTGACTCTTATTAAAAGCAAACCTTCTTAATAGTGTCAGAGGAATGCAGAATCTCTCTCCTT